TAGGACTTCTCTCTGATATTGTGATTCTCGATGATGTTTGCATTAAGAACGGATGCAGAAGTTGACAAATCATCTTCCATTTTCTGCTCTGACAGACGAGTCTTTCCTTAAGGTGGACCAATGGATGACATACATGATTCGCACGCTAACTGCTACATTCGGACCACATTTCCTTCCATTTGCTGACCGAAATGAGAAACGGATCAAATTGTAGTAGATGTTTCTCGCATTCCCATGAGCTTAACTCGTGGGCGCGATTTTCCAGCCTTGAGATCTCGCCAAATGAGCATTTATGAAAAGACTTTTGGCTAACACCATGATGGAGCAAGCACGATGACAGAAGTAGTTACCATACTATTATTGGGAGAATGTGGCAACATACAGACTGGAAAACTCCTTTCCAGTGAGATATGAACTTCTTCGTATGTGGCTCTTCCTAAGCTGAATAGAGCGATGTGAAATGCAGATTACATCGCTGACAAGTTACCGGAGGACTCGGTATGGAAATACACACGGTTTTCGGACCCACAAAATCTTCTTCGGCCAAATGCTATTACCTTATAGCACGTCTAATGTTGTCCAAACACCTGCATATGAATCAATTATTTTGCTATCCATCGGCTGGCATGATCAGAGAAGCCTTAATAGTCGCATGTGGCCATGTTAGGTAACCTAAGGAAGAAGGGCTCAGATAACGCATTTGAAAGTGCCCTTCATGAAAATGAGGAGTTGCTTCTAGCTCACCTGGTAAGCAACCAGGTCAAGCGGTCAATTATATTATAGAAATTCTACCTGATCGCCAGGCTACTATAACGTTGTTACTCTATAACGGCGAGCACCTTGCAGGTACGCTGTTTTTGACGCTCATGTAAAAGAAATATTGAGGCAAGGTGAACTTTCAGAGAGAATGTTGACCATAGATGATCATGCGTATATATTTAATGATGATGATGACGAAGAGAACGCATGGAGAGGGGACCATGAGGGGTTGAAACTTGCGTTTCACCTATCAGTCATAAACGAAGGAATCACTATGAACATACCAGCTCGTATTTGGGCTTTAGAAAGAAGCGAGATAGAAAGCATGTTCATCAATTTTCATGCACTGATTTACCGATACTGATTTTCCTACCTTGTTGACGTCCTTTAACATTAGGTCAATCTATTTTGCTTACGGACATGCATTAATAGTTGAAAACAGAGTTCCTTTTTCCTTAAAGGCACCGTCCATCCAAATTGGGACCGGTGATTGGATGCCTAACAGTAGTGCGGCTCCCAACTGTATAATTGCCCAACTAACGCGGTCAAAAGTTGCTCCCGAAGCGAGAAAATTGCTTCG